CTCTCTGGAAAATTTGCAACAGAAAAGACCTTCCTGGTGTTTATCTACTAATCTCCTTCAGGTTTGTGACTGCTATCTGGGAGCATTTTTTCTTGTTTGGGTGCAGGTGGAGGCTGCCAGCTCATCTAAAACAATTGTTCAATGCCTCCTTTACTTCATAAAGGAATAGAGGAAGGATGCTGTGGAGGTGTGTAAGGGCAGCTATCTTATAGTGTGTTTGGGAAGAGAGGAATAACTGCACTTTTAACGATAAAGAAATTGGTCTAAGGGTAACCATTGATATCATTGCCATCATTAAAGTGGCTATTCATTGGGTTAGGACTGAGGAGCTGTTTGCCATATTTAAGACTGAGGGTGAGGGCATTATAAGAAAATGGAGGGAAGTGGTTGATTCTGCTCCAAACAGATCAAGAATACAAGCGGAGTAGCAACAACCACAATTTCCATCTGTGAACCTAAATTTTGATGAGTGCAACTTAGGCAATCTAGGCCCATTTGGGATAGGAGTGGTATGAAATCACCTGGGTGATGATTTGATCATGTTTTCTGGAGCTATAGATGATGGGGATTCAATTAGAGCAAAGTTGAAACTTGAAAGCTGCGTTCACATGTTTGAAAAGGGAAAAAGAAATGGAATTTAACAAACTAATTGTAGAAGGAGACTCCAAGGTCGTAACAAGTTGTATGGGAAGTCATGAGGAGGAGCCATGGAAGCGCAAATATGAAATAGAGAAGCGAAAGAAATACTAAAGGATTTGGGATCTGTCATTCAATGGACACTGAGGTCAGCTAATAGTCTTGCAGATGAGATGAGCTGGATGGCAAAACAGGGGGTAACAAGGAATTCAATGCTTTGGGGAATAGTACAGTAAAGGGGAAATTGTAGGTAATACTAATTGATACGAGGATGGTTAAGGCAACACCAAGCAATACCATCCATTCATTTTTTTATAAGTAATAAGTAAATTTTGTTAAAATAAAGTAAATAGTGCATCCTGAATAGGTGTTAAGGCAACACCAAGCAACAAAATCCAATCACTTTAATTATTCAAAGATTTTCTACTTAATAAAATTTTAACTATTACTGATAAAAAAAGAGGACTATGTTTAAATATTATTTTTCTTTTCCTCCTAGTCTCAAAGCTAATCGTATGTAGGGGAGACAGCTGGCTGATCATGACTCCCTAGGAAATGTTAACTAAATCCTATTTGGGGGACAAAACCATCTAAAGGCTTGCTCAGAAAACTCAGCTGGTTATATTTACCTACACTGAGATTAATCTAAACATCAATGTTGTCAAAATCTTACAATTCACGATTTGAATCATGAATCCCAAGGATTTTGATTTGAATCTTATGTCTGAATCCTTTTTGGCAGAAACCTACGATTTGATTCATAAATGTTACGATTTCTATGATTCACTATGGTTCAAATAAATTCAATTAAGAATTAATCCTCTACTTTTTTTGTTTATAATTAGTTTTGCCAAGGGAGACTTTTTTTAAAGCCCTTACTAGAAAATGATTTATTTATGTTATTTAAGACTAGAAATTGACTTTATTTTCCATCATATGTAGGTTAAAGAACCGTTGTATTATATAAGTGGTAAATTCTATTGCTTTAAGTACATATATGGTAGATATAGATTAAAAATAGGGTAAAGTCACTTGTCTATGATATATTTAGCCTTTTAATATATCTATATATGATTTTTTACAAGTTTGTAAAAAATAGAAATTATCTTACAATTTACGACACAATTCACAATTCGATTTGATTCAACTTTCTATATGATTTACATAGATTACGATTTCCGACACATTGCTAAACATCTAGTTAAAATTTCCACTTTGTGTGGGGAGGAAATCATCTATGGTATTGTTCATGAAATTTGGCTAATTATAGTTCCCTACACCATGATTAATCCAAAAATCAAATTAAAATTTCTATTTTGTGTGGGGAGAAAAACCAAATTTTGACAGATCTATGGTGGGGGGATGGCACTCTTAAGGACAGATTACCAGGGCTGCTCTCTGTTTCTCTTAAACAAAGATTTCCTAACTTCAGATTGCATTTCTCTTTCTCATTTGGTTTGGACTGGAATCTGGGATTGAGAAAGGGCTTATGGGATTCTGAGGCTCAGGATGCTTTGTCTCTTCTAAACCTCTTGGGAGGGGTCTTCATTGGTCCATCTAAACCTGACTCTAGAATTTGGACCCTTAACAGTTCGTCATTTTTTGTGTGCTTCTTTTTTTGGTGGGTTTTCTCTGGATTCTCATTACAATTTATCTTATCCTATTAGTGTAATTTAGGGAGGGCCATTGCCACCAAAGTTAAGGGCTTTCTGCTAGGAGATTTACCACAATAAGATCAACTATTGTGAAACTTGCAAAGGAGACCAAGCTGATATCTTTCCCCATATATGTGTCTCTTGTGCAAAGCGAATGGTGAAAACACCTACCACTTGCTAATCTCCTATAACCTTGCAACTGCTATTTGGGAATACGTTTTTTCATGTTTTGGTTGCAGGTGGCACCCACCAGCGGAGTTGAATTATTTGAAACAGCTTTTTTCTCTCCCACCAAGAAGAGAGGAAAAATCCTATGGAGATGCAAAAGCACAAGAGTTCTGTGGTGTATATGGGAGGAAAGGAACTCAAGGCTTTTCAATGACAAAGAAAGAGGAGTTGAGGAAGCCATTGATAATATTACTACCAAGGTGGCAAACTGGGTTAAAACTCTGGACCTACTTGCTCCATATTCCCTTGATGATATTAGCAGAAACTGGAAAACAGTAGTGGATTTTGCTATTGGGAAGAAATAAACAATTGCCATATGGCAACCTCCACCTTTTTGTCTTATGTTAAGTTGAACTTTGATGACTACAGTCTAGGCAACCCAGGATTGTCAGGTGCTAGGGAAGTGATAAGGAATAGTGAAGGGAACATAATTGCTATGTTTTCATTTCCAATTGGGGTAGGAGACTCAATAACAACAGAACTCTTGGTGGCATTAAGAGCGCTTAAAAAGACAAAATTACTAAATTATACTAATGTCATTAACTCATTATTGGAGACTCCAAGGTAGTTACAAGATGGTTGGACAGTAATCAGGAAGGTTCATGGACTTATGGACATATGGTAGGTGGATTGGCTAAACAGGGTGTAACAAGGAATAATCTGTTTTGGAGTTTGATCAACTGAGGGGTTCCATTATGTAGTAATTCCTCTGTATTCTGAAGTGGCTAGCTGAGGCTATCTCTCAAACTAAGGAATATATACCAGAATTTCCAATAGAAAACTCTAAAGTTAAAATGTGTTTAGTCTACACCATTCATTACACTTCTAACCCAGAATCAAAAAGGTGTATTCCCCCTAGCAGAAATGTAATTAAGGAAATGTCTATAAGGCATCTTCAATGAGGGCTACCGAAATACTTAATAAACCTAGTTACTAGTCTAATTGGGTGAATTATGTGATGTGAGAAATCTACCAAAAAATTTTTTTCCGACTAACAGTTGCAAATTGACTAGTATAAAAAATAGGGTACTAACCTTGTTCCTCATAAGGTTCTATCATCTAGGCACCTAGCTGACTAGGTGCTCCACTGTTACCTGGAATTATCCATACACCTTGACAACTACAAATACCTATTTGAAGAAATCAAAAAATCTATTATATATAACACTATTTGGGAAACAATGTTAAAAAATGAAAAATCCAAAACCAAACTACCTCTTGAGCATTCATCAAAAAAAAACAAACTACCTCCTGAGCAAAAAGCTCCTTCAAATCCAACATAGGATTCTAGAAAAATATTTTATTTTCTAAATGCTTAGATAATGAAGAAACCATAGCACTATAAGATGTTCCATGTACAAAAATTCCAACAGAAACACGGACAGAGGGTTACACACATAGGAGTGCAACTCGGGTTGGCCTGAGTTAGCATTTTACACTACTTCAGGCTCAGACCTTCGGACCAGACCCATTCAAATTTTGATAAAAGCCCAACTCGACCCTGCCTGAGTTGCACCCCTACACACACAAATACAAAGGTGGGGAAAAAGAGAGTAAGAGAAACCATTTTTTACTTTGTTCCATTTTCTAAAATGGTTTTCCTTTTCAATGGCTTGAAGATGATCTATGTAGTATGATAAGTTGCTAATTCATTCCTAATGTTTTTATCCACTACCTGTGTAGGCATCCATTCATTAATATCTTCTCTATTGACTAAATTACTACAAAGGCCATTGGAAGAACATTTTACATGCAAGCAAAAAGACCATGGAGATTGTTTCGCACAATAAAAGGAATTCCTTGCAACAAAATAAATAAATAAAAGGAATCCCGGTGCTGGTGCTTTTAATGAATGTTCCATGTAGTACAGTGGTTGGCTAACAAGAAGATAATTGATGTGGCAAAGTAGGAGCCGGGTTTGCTTATGGAAGGGGAATATTGTAATAATTTCATCTTTCTATTTTTACTTCCCATGTATTGACGGACCCTTTTGTAATTCACTCTCCAACTGACCCACCTCAAAAGAAGGGAAGAAAGAAAAAAGAAAAGAAGATTATTCCTTTTACCCTACAATCTACATGTCCGGTATTTGTGAAAATAGAAGTAAAGGTTCAAATTATATCAAAGTTCTTCAGGTATGCATCATAGAAATTGCCTAAATTGATTTTCAATTATCAAGAAAATAATTATAACAAAATAAGTAAATAAATAAAACTGTAAAAATAAAAAAGAAAAAGAAAAAACCATATGAAATTTTGCACGTTAAGGAAGACATCTCAACGGTTGCTCAATGAGATTCTGTCATTGTTTTCTCTTGTTCTTCTAACGACGATTTGGCAGAATTTCCTGACAAAAAGATTTTAAAATGCATCTTTTTTCCATTAATAAGTTCAAGTTAGCCATGATGATGATGATATTTAGAGGAGTCTGGAGTTAAAACTTAACCAAGAAATATCTCATCTGCTATAACACAAGAAGTACCTGCAAGATCGTGCAACATGTCTAAGGCCATCAGTAGAAAATCCAGAACACTTATCCAGTTTAAGCGATTGCAGCACGCGACCACGAGCTTGAGCTAGAACCTCCAGATCTGTGTCCTTGACGATCATCCGCCGGAAATGAAGTGAGTTCAGGCAATCAAAAGCCTCTGCGATTTCCTTGATCCATGGAGTAACGTATCCTCCCCAATCCTCTGGTATAAGATTAAACATTGCAGCCCGGGGTTTGCCCTTCAATTTTAGCGACTGAAGATTCTTAAACCTTCGCTTCAGACGATCGGGAGTGGTTGTGTAACACAGAGCAATGACGATATGCTGCCGCGTCAAAGCATCAGCCTCGTACCAACTACGACACACCAAAGAAACAGCATCGCGATCACGAGGGTCGTTGAGGTATTTCATGACACACTTTAAGGCCTCATCTGATATGCCAAAGCTCATTACTCTAGACAAATTTTTAGTCCCCATGGATAGAACATAAAAGCTAACCCTCTTTCAAAGATCAAAAAGTCGAACAAAACAGAAGTCGGGACTCCGGTAAGGCGGTAACCCAAATAGTAGAGCTCTTCATGCAGAAAAGACCAAAAAACTAAAAAAGAAAAAGAATCCCTATCTAAAGGAAAATCTTGAACCACAAAACGCCTAAGCTACACTGCGACAACCACCAACAAAAGCCAAAGGGGAAAAAGTATACGAAAGCCCCTAGAAAACCAAATCACTCAATAACAACAACAGCACTGCTCCCCTGTTATCAACGAATTCAGTCGAGAACCACAAATCTCAAAGCTTGTAGAATGCGGAGTTTATAACCATTCCAGAAATTGAAAGAAGTACTGCAATTGACATCAGCGAGGCAAATTCGGCCTTATCTTCAACTGCTGTAAACAAAAGACAATATCCAGCTTTCGCAGCAAAAGCTTAAAAAAAATTCCACAAAACACAGAATCCACCCTGCGCGTAACCTTCAAGCTAGTCCACGATCTGCTTCAGAACTACTGCGAGAAGAAAAGTAAGAAGAACAAAACACAGAAACCAACCGGATCGGTCGTTAAAAATGAATGAACTTCCTGATTTATAGGACTGCACAAAAAGAAGACCGAACTTCGAAATTAGAGAAACTGATCAGGTCCGCCAATCCAACGCCCCAAGACTCTCCTCTACGAATTTCTTGAAGAAAAGCACAGCGTCTCAAGAGACGGAGCTGGTGCAAGGGAGCAGAGTCTGCAGCTCTGCCACCTCTGAAATCGGCCATCAATGGCGTCACATAACTCGAAACCTCCGACAAGGATTAAGAATCAATGGTAAAGATAGTCAGATAATTTTTTATCAGACGGCGACAGTTAGCAGCAATTCTTTGGAAAAACGGATCAGACCAACATATATATATAGATACAGCGAACGAGCAAGAACTAGAAGGGTTTAGGCTTTAGATTCTCTCGACTGCCGCCTTGGCGCCTCCAGGCCCTCCACAACTCCCCAACTTAACCACTTTTCACACCCAAAATAACACACACCACTAACCACTTGATCATTCCGTATCAAAAAAAAAAAAAAAAAAACACTTGATCATTTATTACTGCATAAATCTATGATGCCCGAAAGCTATGATACGCATTTGAGAAAATATTTCGATTCGGAAATAGTGATTAGTAAATACACAAAAAGTAAATTCCTAATAAACCCTCACTGCCTACCGTTGGATCACCGTTAGATGTTTTCTCCTTCCGAATTCCAAAGTTGGCGTGGGTCCCGTATCAGAATTCTGAATCGAATGGTTGAAGACTTCTGTCCCAGTAGCACAACGCTGGGTGCTTGCTGGTCTCTAATTTTTCTGAACCTTGACAGCTGTAACGCAGTAGTACGATTTTCTTTTTTTTTTTTTTGATAATTTGAAAATTGTGCTTAAAAGTCAGAACTCTGAAGGCCTGATGTGGAATTTCGTTTTTTTCTTTTTACCCTGGACTCCTTGTTCTCTGGGCTTTAATTTTTCTATTAGTCGAAAAGCGATAAATCGGGCTTTTATCAGCAAAATTTATGTGGGCAGTGTGAGTAAGCTTGTGAAAAGGACACCGTTAACTTGTTATCTCTTCTAAAATGACAGCCTTTGTTATTATTACAAGGAATGAGGACCAACGTGGACGAATAAAATATGGGACCCGCCTGCCGTGTAAGGATTTTAGCCACGTCAGCATCATTCCTTGTTGGGATTGGACCTCGGAACCTTCTGATGCGACAGAACAGAAAACCCTTTTTTCTTAAATTTTAAGAAAAGCCAAATAATAATGGAAGTGGAGAAGGTGGGACCAACGTGCATGAGGGGTCGACGTTGGCTGAAAGGTTTGACAGGGTAAGAAACCGACTTATGTAGTCTTGTAGCCCCGCCACCTCCGCTGCCACTTGTCATTATTTAATTTCAAACTGTCTTGGCCAAACAGGTGGGACCTAAGAAATCGACAGGACATGATGAATTGATGATCATAAGCATCGGAATGACGGCCACATATTTAGGGGGAGTTGCGTGCAATATGGCCTGTTCGCACTGGTTATCGGTCTATATTAGGCATCAAATTTAGAGAAATTTTCTAAAATTAACGATGAGTTTTCAATATTTCTCTTAAATTCATTATAACTTTTCAAAACATCTAAAATTCATTAGTAAGTTTTTATTTTTCAAAATTTATCTTCCGTTAATGCACCGTTAATGTTTCTTAATAGAGGTATTCACATCAGCATAAATAATAATTTTTATGACCAAATCACCCTTGAATAGTGAGTTAGAGGAAAAGGGTCTTTTTCATTTTTTAATTTTCTATTTTTACATTTTAGTGTTTTGTTATAATTTCCAATTTTTTTATAATTCTGTTTTTTACATTTTTCTATTTTCTACAATCTATAAAATTTCTTGTATTTTTTGTTATTTATTTGCAACTTCTGTGTTTTTCTATAATTTTTGGTGTTTTTCTACAATTTTTATTTTCTGATTTTGTTTTTCAATTTCTATAGTTTCTATAATTTGAAAATATTTTTTTATTTTGTGTGCAATTTCTATAATTTTTTATATTTTTGCAATTTCTGTGTTTTTATGTATTTTATATTTAAAAATATTTTTTGAACTTTTTCCTTTTTTTCATATCTAAATATTAAAATATATATATATATTTTATATTTTTCTATAAAGGTTAAAATGGTAATATATTAACAGTCGTTAGTCTCTTTAGCGTCAAGTTAATGACATGGTGAGTTTTAGACATTTTGAAAAGTTGTGGTGAATTTAAGAGAAATGCTGAAAACTCATGGTGAGTTTTTGACAATTAAAGGGTTAAATTATGAATCAATGATACAGGAAAAAAACTACAGCACATCAAAGGTGATCAATTGGGTGGTATTTATCAAAATTTATTCCAGTATCATGTATATCATAGATTGTTCCCATACAAAAATAGCTGATAAATCCATGTAATGCCTGGATGAAATAGAATTTTGGCTGGTATTTTTTAAGCAATGGCAGCAGTTAAAGCACTATGTAGGCATGTAACAGAAAAAAAAAATGCTGAATTAATTGTTGGTTGAATCATTTTTATCACATAAATGTTTCTTTCAAAGGTTTCATTGTTTCTTTTTCATTGACCAACTTTACAGTATTCTTTTTACAATAAATAATAGGCCTCATGGTAAAGAAAAAGTTATTACATTATTTACATACAAATCAAAAAAATATGGGTAACTGAATTTATTTGGATAAATGAGAAATTTATAAACAAACGGGATTTAAGAGAAAATAAACAACACTTATCCCAATTTTCAAGATGAAATCGTATAAAATAAACAACACTAATACCAAACATCCCTAGACTAGGGCCTATCTTTAGGGTTGGCTTTATCAAAAAAAAGTCAAAAGTTAAGAGAAAAGGTGGGATTTAATGAGGAAGGAGATTTTTAGGGAGAGTGCATATTCAAACTTGAAACTTCATATGGATGATGAAAGAGTGATAATGATCATGTATTGAAAAATGTTTCTAACTTTTCAAGTTTTGAACAATACAATAAAAAAGGTATTTACTGTTGTCGGTTGAATATGGCCATTGATACGTATGATACTATGCAACATGTATGATACGTATTTATGTTTTAAACCTTGAGAGAGAGAGGTTTTAGAGTGATGTAATTAGAGAAAGTAATGAATCTTATTATAAATAATTAAGATTTAATAGGGTTTTAATTGATATCTTATATTTTTAATAATTTAATTTTAAAATAAATAACCAAAGTCCATATAAACATCAATCCTTGAGGCGAGTGGACTTCAGCCTCTCTCTAAATTTACAACCGTGCAAGAATAGGAGTGTAATTGAATCAAGTTAAGCCAAACTCTGGTATACTGTTGGTTCGGTTTTGACTAAAATACTACTATATTCAAGTTCAATTCAAAATCTATTTTTATGTTCAATTTAATGAAATATTCAATGAGTTTGAGTTCAACTTAAAAAGCTTATGCATACATACAAGAACCAAATTCGAATTAAGCTCATCAAATTCAAACATGAACCAACGAATATTACATCAACTGCGGGTGATTTATGCGATATTCAACGTTCCAAGTTAGAATCACAAAATAGACTGGAATAACAAACGTTTTCATCTCTCTTTCACTCTCTCTTTTCAGAGAAGCTTACTCTCGAGCTCTCTTGAAATTTAGTTTCTTTTCTGTTCATCATCCACCATATAGTTGTTTGTTAGAGGTGACTCCCTTTGGGAGTCCCCCTCCCCCTCCCCCCCCTCTTTTCTCTGTTCTTAGTTTTTGTTTCTCTGTTCTTTAGTTCTTCAGTTCTTCATTTCTCCCCTATTCCCATCTGTTATTACACTTCTCCATTTCCGTTGTCCATCTGTTCTTTTGTTCTCCTTTTCTGTTCTCAATTTCTCTGTTCGTTTGTTCTTACATTCTTCTCCCATTTGTTCTTTTGTTCTCTATGTTTTTCCTTTTGTTATTTCTGTTCTCCCCTCTTCCTTGCTATTTTTTTTTATGCTTTCTTTCTTTCTGTGGGCATTTTGATATGGAGTTCCTTCTTTAGAATCCTTTCTACGATATCCACTAATGGAAGTTGCTTCACATATTACCGTCTCCGACGATTTGGATGGCAATTACAGTTCTCCGACATTATGATTAGCAGTTTCAGTCTTCCGGCATTATGGATGGACATTACAATTCTCCGACGTATTGGATGATAGTTCACAGTTGACAGTTCTCCGGTGTGCTGGATGGCAATTTCAATTCTTGGCCATGCCATCTTTTGTGGATTGGATTGGATTGGTTGGAAGTTACAGATCATGGCTATTTGGCTTTCTAACCTCCACTGTCAGCTATCGTCTTTGTTGGAAACCTCTCATGTCAGTTACGCTCGTCGGTTATGGTGGTTTGGAGATGTATTTATCCACTTCAATTGATAATTTTATTCACCTTTTTTTAGTTGCAGAAATTTTTTCGATTCTCTTTCATCCATCTCTTTATTTTGTTCTTATCGAAAACTTGTCTTTAAACTTTAATTGGCCAAAATTGACATCTCTTTGCATCAATATGTTATAAGGCTTTTAAAGCTTATAGTGGTTGAAATTTGAAAATAGTCCACCAAAGGAATTAAGGGATTCAACTATGATACGAAAAAGATATGATATCTGAAAAACTTTTAACCAATTCATCGGAATTATAAACATGATAACCAATCAAGTATTATTTATCAAAATCTATGAATGGATTTTGATCGATCAAAACTCTTTTCATATCATAGATTTTTTCTAAAAAATGTCCCATGACGTTCTTGATAGAATGAGCCATCAATAGGTTGGGTCTGATTTGAGACAGGGTAGACCAGTTCCGAACCAATTAATAATCAGTTCTATGAAATAGACGCATGATCGAATCAATTATAATCTGACCTGATTCTACTTTATTCAACCAATCTAGTAAAAATAGTAATTAATCAGCTGTCATTGATAAAATTCATGGAGTGGTTCTAATTTGTTGGAGTTCTTCCAGTATCGTACACCTTTTGGCATCATAGAAATTGCAATTAATAATATATAATATAAAAATTATTTTTAATTTAATTTATTAATGGCATTCGATATACAGAACCAATGAAAAGGTATGATAGATGAATCAGGTGGTTTTGGGTTAAGGGATGTTTTATTTTAAAAATCCTTTAAGAGTAAAAGAGAACCAGATTAGTCATTGTCGCTTGGTGATTGAAGTGGACGAATTATTAGCGTGTAGCGTCTTGCTTCCAACAGCGAAATAGGGGAGGTCAGGTTTGAATATATTAACAGACTTCAAAATGAGCTTGCGTAGCCAAACACAGTTTGTATCCTTCTACTCAGGTCTCCCAAACTCCTAAAAGATATTGAATTTTTATTTAAATAGGCCAAATCCAAAATTTCATTCACCAATATATAGGAGTTAAAAATGAGAGAGAAGTCCCGAC